GATATCAGCACAGTTTTCTCTTGTTTACATGTGTATCTTTTTCTCTTCCTTTTACTTTTAAAAATTTTGGTTTCCTACCTTTCAGGTCAATCTCCTAGGCAAAATGTGGTTGTTTTTCTGAAGGTTGTTTTGGTAGCCCTTGTCTTTTAATTGGAGTAACGGATCTATTTTTCTTTGAGGTAATTCACAAATACATTTGGGTTTCCATCTAAGTTTTCTATTTGTCTCACTCGCTCTATATTCCTTTTTTCCCTTCCTCATGTCTTTTTTATGCGATTATCTTTTATTATTACATGATTTTCCCCCTATTATGTTTGCTTTAAAATGAAATTCCAGTGTCAGACGGAACCTGAATATTCTAAACATTATTTTTGTCTTATCTCCATACTACCTGGTCTACTTAATTTCTAAAAGGAAAATGTTATATTGGTACAGTAAATTTAAAAAATCAGTGCCACTTGCCATAAACAGAAAATAATCATAACATTAAATATAAAAGTTACAAAAAAAAGATGCTCATTTTATGTACCACTTAGGGAAAACACTTCCATATTATTCCACAAGGCTTTGCCAAGATCTAGACCTAGATCTTGATTTCTGGCCAGTCGCCACATATAGCTATTTAGTTAATGCAAAACAAAATTTTAGTTGCCACATATAGCTATTTAATTAATGCTAAACAAATTTTAAAAGCTCCAGTTCCTCAGTCACACTGGCTGTTTCAAGTGTTTAACAGGCAGATGAGGCCGTTGACTATGATTGAGGCAGCACACTTACATCACTGTAGAGAATTCTGAATACCTTCTCTACAGCAACCCCACCTCCACCCCTGCCCATTGCAACCCGCCCTGCACCCCATGCTGAACCACACTAGTTGCACAGTCTTGGAATATATCAAAACTCTTTCCCTGATTCAGGGCCTTGCATGTTGGGAAAACTCTGCCTGAAATGCTCTTCCCTGCTCTTTGCCTTACTAGCTTCTTGTCAGTTTTTAGGGTCTCATCTCAGGAGCCTGACTTTCTCTGGCTATCTAAAATATACCCTACTTACCCTCAGCCTCCACTCCATTATTTCCTATGTCAGTCCTCTGGTTTTTTCTTTCTCTTCAGTCATTGCAGTTTATAATTATTTTGTGCACATCTGTTCACTTCTTATTCTTATCTAAGTTACTCCAATTTTATTTCTATCTCAACTAAGCTTTAGTTCAGAAAAATGTCCAAGTTACTCAAAAGCACAAAGTCCATAAAAATGGATACAAAGACATGACAGAAAAAAATCTGAAAAAACAGCTCAATAAAATTGGTAAATTATGCCTACAGATCCGTGTCGTTAAAAAACTTATTTCATCATTTAAATTATGTATTGCCCCAGAATATGTCATTGCATTCAAAATATTCAAATGGAAAGGTCAACAAAACTAATAAACAAATTTTATTATATGCAGTGGTTTAGAGATATTTAAAGAAAAAATAAGCCAAGTCCAAGTTCAAATTTAAATGCCATACTTAGAAAGATGGCTATGTAATTTTAGCTAGGAAAATCAGTAAAAGGTATTAATCCCTTAAAAATGAGAAGGGTCCATACACCTTTTTAGATAGCAAGCTGAAGTTCAGGCTGTATTTTTTGAAATGTTACAGATTTTATTAATGTTCCACAACGTCATACAAATCAAGATGCAAAAATTTTCAGGTGTACAAACCATTATCCATGATGATGTTGTTATGCCTGAAAAAATCTCCCAAACAGCCCCAACAGACGAATCCGAGACACACTCCGACGTAAAAGGCATGAGGTGAGGTTTATTCAGACCCGGGTCTGGACTCTCCTGGCATGCAAGCCTAGGACGAGCCTGGAACCCAGGGTGGAGGAAGTTTTTATGGGGTACAGAAAGCAAGAGGGGTAGGGTCGGATACACTTTTTATTGGTTGGTGATTTCACTAGTAAAGGAGGAAGTAAAGGAGGATTTGCATTGGTAGCTGATGATTTCACTAGTAAAGGTGAATTTGGATTGGTACAGGTGAGGGGTGGGGGGTCCCTTAACCGGGGGCTAGAGTTGGTGCAGCCTGATTACCTGTATTTCAAGGTAATAGAAACTTATTGTTTATTATAGCAGCTGTTTGCCTAAGGTGACTTAGTTTACAGCTCAGTGGCTGTGCAACCTGGGGTGGGGGAGGGGCAGCAGGGAGTGGCCCTGCCGGTTTCACTGGCAGAGGTTGGGGCAGAAGGGCTAGGAATGGAACTTACACGCTAAACAGCCAGGAATGGGGCTTGTGCTGTAAACAACAAAATAGAGCTAGTTTGGCTCTCACAATGTGCCATCTTTTTTCTACAAATACCAAAAATGTACTTGCTTTAATGACCCAAGTCTTTAGAAAATCAAATCCACTGTCCATCTGTGTTGGGTAAGAAACTTATGTCTTAAAAGAGCCCTGTTTTGCTTGTATGTTACAAGACTCTTGTGTTAATCCATTTTCCTCAAATCCCCTTAATGGGCTGCCATCTTGATTTCTTGGTGGTAGGGTCCATTTGAGACTATTCAAGATGACTAGGTGTAAATGTTTCCACCAGTGACTACCACGTTGTACAGGCCTTTGGGGAATTTAGCTGAAAGTACACATTTCTGTTACATAAAATACAGACTTTCCCAAAGATTTCCTTTATCTTCAAACATAAAACTCCAATGTCCATTTTTAAAATGGCATACCTCAAATAAAAAGTATTTCTCTAGAACCATCAACAACCAAATTAATTTTAATCTTGTAAATCACCATGTGTGAGCAAGGCCATCAGCACCTCCCGGGCACTCAAACCTGAGTGCTAGGCTGGACTGCCTGCCCATGCCAGGTCCAGTCCCTGGGGCCCAGGGAGCCTCCATGGGCCCTGCTGCAGTGGCACTTTTGCAGCTGGTGTAGGTCCTGACACCAATGAGTGGCTGCCTCTTCTTTCTGATCCTTCTAAGCACCAACAGAGTTAGTATATACCTTAAGCTTCTACACAATTGGATAATAAGGAACAAAGTGAGATATTCTGTCAATGCCACAAATTTCCAAGCTATTTTAATAAGGATGAGTCATAAAAATTCTAATGTAGGCATGGGTTATGATGGATAATAAAATCTGCATTTACTGGTCAGAATAAAGAGAAGTGACAGGTCAGATTTTTCAATATACTAAGTTATTACTTCAATATACTTAACAATGCTTTGTGAAATAAAGTCAGGGATAACCCTTTACTGAATGCTGAGAATAGGTGCCAAAATAAACAGCTGATTAAATTATCTAATTGCATGCTAAGTCTCATTTATTGCACATTCCAGACATACTCTACCTAGACAGTTCTGTATTACCGGTAGATGGAATCCAGTTGGGGAATTATGGCAAATGGACAAACTTTATCAGTTATGAGATAAAGACCTTTTATTGTCCTAGTAAACAATTTATACCCTGGAAGATGTTTTCGGGAATATTGGTTTACTTGAGACTTATGGTCCAAGAACTTTTTTTTTTTTTTTTTTTTTGAGACAGAGCCTCAAGCTGTCCCCCTGGGTAGAGTCCCGTGGCATCACAGCTCACAGCAACCTCCAACTCCTGGGCTCAAGCGAGTCTCCTGACTCTGCCTCCCAAGTAGCTGGGACCACAGGCGCCCGCCACAATGCCCGGCTATTTTTTGATTGCAGCCGTCATTGTTGTTTGGCGGGTCCCCGCTGGGGATTTGAACCCGCCACCTTAGGTGTACATGGCTGGCGCCTTAGCCAGTTGAGCTATAGGCGCTGAGCCTGGTCCAAGAACTTTTATGGAAAATCCAACAAACTTTTTCTTTGGAAAATGTTATAGACATGTATACAACATTAATATTGAGAATGGCTGGATTTAAAAAAAAAAGATAGACTTTTCAGCACAGTCCACTGGAAACATAAAACTCTAAGATCTGCTATTAAGTGAACAAAGGAGTGGTTCTAAAATTGTCTTTTGCAACATAAAAAAATAGTCAAAACTAAAAAGGCAGTAAGTTTAGTTCAACGGCAGACTTCACTACGTATTTTTCATTCTATAATTTGTAACATTATTTCTGTCATTCTGGAATTCTGGAAAGTCCTCGTACTTTAAATCTTTATGCTACAAAGAACAATATTATCAGGAAGTGGTTTCCTAAAGGGTATTCATTCTCTGGGGTCATAAAGAATTTTCTTTTTTCTTTATTCAAACCATTTAGGAAAAGGACAAGCGGAAATTTTTTTAGTCCTGATCTGTTTAAAGTTTGTTGAAAAACAAACCAAAAAAAAACCTCCCTAAAGTCATTTGAAAATAAGAGCATTCTGCTGGATAAGCATCTTATACAAATACACCACGAATAAATGTTTCTTGAAATGAATAGCAACTTTACACCAGCATCAGATGTTACCTTAGAGAAGAGGATACAAACACTATTAAAACAAGTAACATAGGCTTATGGTTTTACGAAAACCTGTAGGAGTCATGTTCAAATTAGAATTTTGATTGGTTTCTTTTATTATTATTATTATTTTTTGAGATAGCCTCAAGCTGTCCCCCTGGGCAGAGTGCCGTGGCATTACAGCTCACAGCAACCTCCAACTCTTGGGCTCAAGCGAGTCTCCTGCCTCCGTCTCCCAAGTAGCTGGGACCACAGGAGCCCGCCACAACGCCCGGCTATTTTTTGGTTGCAGCCATTATTGTTGTCTGGTGGGTCCAGGCTGGATTCGAACCCGCCACCTTAGGTGTACGTGGCTGGCGCCTTAGCTGGTTGAGCTACAGGCGCCGAGCCGGTTTCTTTTATTATTACTACTGGTACTGTCCCCCTACAAATTGTGCAGTTTGCGGTTCATTTGAAATCCTTCCAAGAGTTCACTCCATGAGTTAGACACATATACACATTTTTGAAAAGTAAATCTGTTTGACACAGTAAGGCTGGTGGCAGTTTAATGTAATCAAATGTGATGGCTCTGAAAAATGTGATGGTGGGATCTTAAACCTCAGATGACGTATGACTGTTAACTCTTGGTTTGCTTAAAGTACTGATGAACTGCATTTGAAGTATAGCCTCAACTCTTACCCACTAGTTACAGCACAGGTGTGAAATATCTGAAGCTTGAAAAATGTAGTGTTGTCGACAAATGTTTCAGAACTTCAGGAATATGATTAAAGAACAAAGGAAATAAGACTAATGAAGAGCAGATGAAGTCTAGAACAAGCAAAGGGGAACATACATTTATTAAAAATAAAAACAGTACACAGTCTCTGACAACAAACAAATCATTTAGAATAAAGGCATCCACTATACACTGTAACAATGCACACAAACTAAAAAAAAAAAAAAAAAAAAAAAGACCCATGAAGTAATTTTTTAAAAACTTTCAAAAGGAAAAAGAAAATTCTGTCTCTCTCCTGCTGGCGACTTGCCTACCAAGACACCACACTACCCCAGCATTCCCTTTCAAATGTTCTGTACAACACGCTGCTGCACAACATGTGCAGTTACTTGATGAACACATTGTTTCTGAATAAAATTGTGGTTTCTGTATGGACGATCGAGAACATAAATAAGTGGTTCCATTTAATAAAAAATATTCGTAGGCTGGAAGAGCAGTGACAATCATTTCCCAAAATCTTCAGTTTTAACAAAAGGTACAGAATAAACTACCAAATCTAGACATTTTCACATTATTTTGCATGAGTATCAAAGTACTACGTAAAAACAGATGTAAAATCTGAAGTTAGCCAAAACCAGTGTCTTTAAAGATCAAAGTTCTTCACTCTTTCAGCGTGGCTCATAAATTTTTCCTGCTTCTGTCACTAATAATGCTTGTCAAACCAAACAACTTTGAAAAAGAATATGTACTGCAGAAGGAAGACAGTACAAAAATGTCATGCTGATCTCCACTCTTAAGACACACACAGTTCCTGTTGGACACTGGACTGTGAAAGTTTATTATCTTCAGTCTTTTCATGTCCTGGGGTATGGCAAGTAGTCTTCCGCTTGAATAACCGAAGACTCAATCGTAGTAATTCATTGTCTACCACTGGAGCATTTGTGTAAGCTTGTTTTATAGTACCCTATTTGGAGAAAACAAAAACAAGTAAATAAAAAAAAAAGTATGTAATTAGTTGACAGTAGAAAAAGACAGGCAGGTTAACCTCTACTAGAAACAGGAAACTTAATAAGAGCAGTTAATTTTAGATGGGTTTTAAATTAGCTCTATTTAGATTTAAAAGCAAAATTAGGGCCCAGTGAATATTAGGAAAAAAAGCTTTAGAGGGCACCTACCCTAACTTCTTGCTTAAAGTAGGAATCCTCAACAATTCCTGACAGGTAATCAGCTAGTTTTACCTCATCATTTCTAATGACAAAACAACACACAGCACTTTGTACTGTTGAATGACACTATTTCTTTTGCATGATGAAATAAACTCTTTTATGGGACTACACTCTAATTCAATCTTATTTTTACTTAACAATCCTTCAACTACATGAAGAGAAGCATCAAGACTTTTCTTCCTTTATCTTTTTTTTGAAGATGGGGTCTCGCTCTGTAGCTCAGGCTAGAGCGCAATGGTGTCATCATAGTTCACTGCAACCTCAAACTCCTGGGCTCAAGTGATCCTCCAGCCTTGGCTTCCCAAAGTGCTAGAATTACAGGCATGAGCCACCATGACTGTCTCCCCATCCCCCTCTTTCTTTTGCAAGCCAAACATTCTACATTCCTTAATGGTCTGTTAATGTGAGCACTAGAACTGAATAAATTCTTTAGTATACTGAGGAACTACCACCTCCTTTGTACTAAAATGTGTATCTGTATTATTGTGACTTAGAGCTATGTTAGCATTTTGTGGAAAGTTATTGTTAGAGAGGAGAAAGGAGGAAATGTTACAAAATATTTTTTATAAAATGGAGGTAGGATTCTGATGAGAATGTCAACCATACAGTCTCTCAACTGGATTTTTTCTATCTGAACCAAACAAAATGATTTGAATGATTATTTTTCAATTGAACACCAAGGATGGTGATAACTGGTACCATTCTAGGTGCATCGGAGAGGTGACTCATTCATAACACACACGCTTAGTATGCTGGGGCTTCATTCTCCCAGATTCTCTTTTTTATAATTTAATTTCCCACCCAAATTTAGGTATTTTTCTTTAATGAAATAATCTTTTCTATAGCAATGTTATATAGACAAAGATAACTCTGTTTTCCTAACTGCCCCCAAGTAAAAAGGTAGTAAATTAATGTTTTTCTAACTCTATAGGACCAACTCTCCTTTGTCCTACAGGTTGACTATCCGTTATTTTAAATGCTTTGGATCAGAAACGTTATGGATTTTAGACTTTTTTGTGTGTGTGTGTATCCTGAAGTATTTGCATTACACCTACTTGTCCAGTTATGCATCCCTAATCCAAAAATCCAGTCTGAAATGTTCTTCTGAGCATTTTCTTTGAGAGTCATGTTGGTAAGTTTCAGTAAGTCATGTTGGTGCTCAGTAAGTTTGGATTTTGCAGCATTTCACATTTCATTTGTTTCGAGTAGGAGTACTCAACCTGCGCTATCCATGACCATCACATTCACTCCAAAATAAAAATACCAGTTTCGTAACTTTAAAATGTCTAACATGTTTTTTATCTTAGGCTTTTTTTTTGGAGACAGAGCCTTAAGCTGTCCCCCTGGGTAGAGTGCCGTAGCATAGGTCACAGCAACCTTCAACTCCTGGGCTCAAGTGAGTCTCCTGCCTCCGCCTCCCAAGTTGCTGGGACCACGGGCGCCCGCCACCTTAGTTAGATGTATGTGTCTGGCGCCTTAGCCACTTGAGCCACAGGCTCCGAGCCTTATCTAAGGCTTAACAGATCTCATTATCATCTTTCTTCAAAATGTGAACTAATTTCAATTTCTCTTACTTTTCAATTCTCTTTATTCTTCTCAAGCGAATGCTTATATATAATCATTTGCATTTATTTCACTCTCTTCCAATTTGTTACATTTTCATAAACACTTGTCCTATAAATATCCTCACCATTCTGTATCTGGGACTTCTCCCCCTTGATTTTCTATTTAAATTAAATCTAGTATGTTTGCTTATTAAAAGAAGCTTTTCACAAATGAAAAACATTTCACAGAAACACAATATTTCATCCTTTCTTTATACATGAAATTTTAAATAACTAGTTGTAATTGAAAACAAATATTAATACTATTGAAGTAAAATTAAAAGTATCATAAATTTTAATACTATTCTACCTTTTACTGTGTTAAAGATTAGGAAAACTAATCATAAAAACATACGACTGTAATCTCACTTTAATGCAGTCAAATGAAAAATATGCCATTTATACTATTCACTTTGCATTTTTACCTTCTCATTTTTAACAAGCTGCTTTCGGATTGCAGAATCTCGCCTGAAGCATAATGCCTTACAACATGGTCCAAGATTACTAAGAAGACTTGCTCGTTCTTCTTTTCGTAGTAATGCAGCCATGTTGAGAGCCCCCAATTCATGTTCAAAAAGATTGTCTGCATCTTTCAAAAAAATAAGCAAGTATTAAGTTTTCCTAAAACAGAAAAGTGTTACAAAGCACTTAACTGAATATTCTACAAAGTCCATACTTTATCAAAGTTAGCAACATTGGTAAAAATTATTTCACATAAAGGTATGAGAAGGACCCTCAACATGCTAATTACTTTGCTAGTCTCAAACAATAAATACTTGGATAGCCACTTTAAATTTGTTTAAAATGTAACAAAAGGAGACTTGGAAGAGAGAATTTAGACACTGATTACTACACTAAGACCGGAAAGAAAAGTTCAAGGTAAGAATCACTGAAATCAAACAGTCAAATTCAATATATTGCTTACCATCAACTGCTACTTAAAGTTCTAGATTCCAGGATGTTTTTATAGTAGGATTCAAAAGTAAAAATAATATTCAAGATGACTGTGACTGCTAAAAAATCAGTTAACAAAGTGATTAGGTGTTACACCAAACTGCAAATTTTGTCCTGGATTTGGTCACCATAAAAATGTGGGGCAATGTATAAAATTAAAATTGCTTATTTTAAAGTCATAGCATGAAAGACAGAAAGCGCTGAACATACAAAATATAGTTTTAATTTTTAATTTTTTTTTTCTTTTGAGATTGAGTCTCACTTAGTTACCCCTGGTAGAATGCAATGGGGTCATCATAGCTCACTACAACCTCAAAACCCTGGGGCTTAAAGGGATCCTCCTGCCTCAGCCTCTCAGGAAGTTGGGACTGTAGATGCATCATGGGTACCTGGCTATGTTTTCTAGTTTTTGTAGAAAACTCCCAAGTCTATCTAAGTAGACCTCGGATATGGCAGTAGGAAAATAAAGTCCTATTCAACATAATATATCAGTGTCTATTACAACCACCACAGCAACAATGAATAGCAGAGGTCTCAGTGTTAAGCAACAATCATCCCCTCCTCCTTATCGTGTATATTTTCATTAGATTAAGTCATCATTAAGTAAGGGCCAAACTATATTTTCTAGTTAGCAAAATCAAATTAGATTTTAACTTGAAACATGTCATTAGCAAAATTCACAGGAACAAATGGCTTTAAAGGTAGATAAGATATAACCTAGGAGTTTTAACACTTTACAAATGAAACTGAGGCAAATAGGATTATTTGCTTAAGGCCACAGAACCAACCAAATAAAGCAGAAAGAGTGCGGCAAGAACCCAAGACTTTGGTCGCTTTTCAGGTTAATATATACATGTTCATAATTACAACTTACATATATTTCATACATGTATACTTTGTTTACTAGGCTTTATTAAAATAAAAAATTTTACTATCTATGCTAACAGATGGAAGCAAGGACATGGATTCATTAAAACTCATAAGACAACTTTTTTCAATATTATGTTAATAAAAAACTCATTCCTTAACTTCTGTATTTCCAGAAACATGACGTTAAATTGTTAAATACACCAAGAAGATATTTCAATTCTAAATATTTATGCACTCAACTTCAATGCTCCCAGATTCCTGAAACAGACCTTAATTAATCTGAGCAATAGGATATCCTATAACACCAAAATAGCAGGGGACCTTAACACTCCTCTCACAGAGCTGGACAGATCCTCTAAACAGCAACTAAACAAAGATACGAGGGACTTAAATGTGACCCTAGAAGAACTGTGCTTAATAGATGTATATAGAATACTTCATCCCAAAGCTAAAGAATATACATTCTTCTCATCAGCCCATGGAACATTCTCCAAAATTGATCATATCCTAGGACACAAAACAAACCTCAACAGAATCAAAAAAATTCAAATTTTACATCATATCTTCTCAGACCACAGGGCATTAAAGATAGAACTCAATTCGAAGAAAAAACGTTCAACTCCACACAAAGGCATGGAAATTAAACAACCTTATGCTGAATGACAGTTGGGTGTAGGAAGAGATAAAAGAGGAAATCATTAACTTCCTTGAGCACAACAACAATGAAGACACAGCTACCAAAACCTGTGGGATACTGCAAAAGCACTCCTGAGAGGAAAATTTATCGCTTGATGCTTACATTCAAAAAACAAAGAGAGTGCATCAAAAAACTCGCAAACCATCATATGGAATTAGACAAAGAACAATCTAAGCCTAAACCCAGCAGAAGAAAAGAAATATCCAAAATTAGCCTCAGCGCCTGTAGCTCAGCAGCTAGGGTGCCAGACACATATATGGAAGCTGGTGAGTTTGAACCCAGCCTGGGCCTTCTAAACAACAATGACAACTACAACCAAAAAATGTAGTGGGGTGTTGTGGTGGTAGGTGCCTGTAGTCCCAACTACTTGGGAGGGTGAGGCAAGAGAATCTCTGAAGCCCAAGATTTTGAGGTTGCTATGAGCTGTGACGCCACTGCCTCTACCCAGGGTGACAGTAAGACTGTCTCCAAAAAAAAAGAAATATCCAAAATTCAATCAGAATTGAAAACAAAAGAATCATTCAGAAAATTAATGAAACAAGGAGGTTTTTTTTTTTTTTTTGAGACAGAGCCTCAAGCTGTCCCCCTGGGTAGAGTGCCGTGGCATCACAGCTCACAGCAACCTCCAACTCCTGGGCTCAAGCGAGTCTCCTGCCTCCGCCTCCCAAGTAGCTGGGACTACAGGCACCCACCACAGCGCCCGGCTATTTTTTGGTTGCAGCCATCATTGTTGTTTGGCGGATCCAGGCTGGGGATTTGAACCCGCCACCTTAGGTGTACGTGGCTGGCGCCTTAGCCGGTTGAGCTATAGGCGCCGAGCCAAGGTTTTTTTTTTTTAAAGTAAAATAGATAAACCTTTGGCCAGACTAACTAGAAATAGAAAAGTAAAATCTCTAGTAACTTCAATCAAATGTTAAATGAGAAACAACAACAGATGTCACAGAAATATAAGAGATTATCTCTGAATACTACAAGAAACTCTATGCCCAGAAATTTGACTAGGTGAAGGCAATGGATTGATATTTGGAATCACACCCTCTCCTTAGACTTAGCCAGGAAGAAATAGATCTGAACAGAACAATTTCAAGCACTAAGATCAAAGAAACAATAAAAAACTCTCCCAACCAAAAAATGCCCTGGTCCAGATGGCTTCTGGACCTTCAAAGAAGAGCTTATTCCCATACTGCAGAAATTATTCCAAAAAATTGAAGAGGAAGGAATCTTTCCTAACAGAGTCTATGAAGCAAACATCACCTCGATACCAAAGCCAGGAAAAGACCCAACTAAAAAGGAGAACTTCAGACCAATTTCACTAATGAATATAGGTGCAAAAATTCTCAACAAAATCTTAGCTGATAGTTTATAGCTTCTCATCAAAAAAGTTATACACCATGATCAAGTAGGTTTCATCCCAGGGATGCAAGGCTGGTTTAACATACTCAAGTTCATAAACCATAAATGTAATCCACCATATCAACAGAAGCAAAAACAAAGACCATATGTCCTCTCAATAGATGCAGAAAAAGGCACTCGATAAAATCCAGTTGAGACAAAAGAATTGCCAAAGCCCGGGAGCTGGAGGTTGCTGTGAACTGTGACGCCATAGCACTCAACCGAGGGCGACAAAGTGAGACTCTGTCTCTAAAAAAAAAAAAAAAATCCAGCATCCTTAGAACACTGAAGAGTATAGGAAGAGATGGCACATTTCTTAAACTGTTTGAAGCCATCTATGACAAACCCACAGCTAATATTTTACTGAATATGGTAAAACTGAAAGCTTTTCCCATTTAGAACTGGAACCAGACAAGGTTTTCCTTTATCTCCACTATTATTCAACATTGTGCTGGAAGTTCTAGCCAATACAATCAGTCAAGAGAAGGAAATAAAAGGGCATCCAAATGGGAGCAGAGGAGGTCAAATTCTTCCTCTTTGCTGATGATATGATCTTAATACTTAGAGAACCCCAAAGATTCAACCACAAGACTCCTGGAAGTGATCAAAAAATACAGTAATGTCATAGGATATAAAATCAATGTCCACAAATCAGTAGCCTTTGTAAATGCCAATAACAGCTGAAATGATAAGCTAATTAAAGACATAATCCCCTTTACAGTAGCTTCAAAGAAAATAAAAGACCTACGAATATACCTCACAAAAGATGTGAAGGACCTCTATAAAGAAAATTATGAAGCCCTAAGGAAAGAAATAGCAGAGGATATTAAATGGAAGAACATACCATGCTCATGGCTGGGAAGAATCAACATTGTTAAAATGTATATACTTCCCAAAGCAATCTATAGATTCAATGCCATCCCTATTAAAATACCAACATAATACTTTCAAGACTTGGAACCAGAAAAAACCCCATATAGCTAAGGCAGTTCTTAGTAATAAAAACAAAGTAGGAAGTATCAACTTACCAGACTTTAGGCTGTATTACAAGGCTGTAGTGATCAAAACAGCCTGGTATTGGCATAAAAATAGAGACATAGACATCTGGAACCGAACAGAAAACCAGAAGATGAAACTAACATCTTATAGCCACCTAATCTTTGATAAACCAAACAAGACACTGGGTGAAAGATTCCCTATTTAATAAATGGTGCTGGGAGAATTGGATATCCACATACAAAAGACTAAACTTGGACACGCACCTTTCTCTACTCACAAAAATTGATTCAAGATGGATAAAAGACCTACATTTAAGGAATGAAATGATAAAAATCCTTAAGGAAAACATGGGAAAAACACTTGAAGATATCAGCCTGGGAAAGACTTTATGAAGAAGACTTTCGTGGCAATTGTGACAACAACAAAAATAAATGGGACTTAATTAGACCAAAAAGCTTCTGTACAGCTAAGGAGACAACAACCAAAGCAAATAGACAACCTACACAATGGGAAAGAATATTTGCATATTTTGAATGGGACAAAAGCTTCATAACTAGGATCTATAGAGAACTTAAATTAATCCACATGAAAAAAGCCAACAATCCCATACATCAATGGGGAAAACAGATGAACAGAACCTTCTCTAAAGAAGACAGATGAGGGCAGTGCCTGTGGCTCAAAAGGGTAGGGCGCTGGCCCCATATGCTGGAGGTGGCAGGTTCAAACCCAGCCCCAGACCAAAAAAAAAAAAAAAAAGACAGATGAATGGCTAGCAAACATATGAAAAAATGCTTATCATCCCTAATTATTAGAGAAATGCAAATTAAAGCTACCCCGAGATATCATCTAACCCCAGTGAGAATGGCCCATACAACAAAACCTCAAAACTGCAGATGTTGGTGCAGATGTGGAGAGAAGGGAACACTTTTACACTGCTGGTGGGACTGCAAACTAACACAACCTTTTTGGAAGGAAGTACGGAGAACCCTCAAAGAACTCAACCTCGACCTCCCCTTTGATCCTGCATTCCTATTACTCTTTTACCCAGAAGAAAAAAAATCCTTTTACCATAAGGACACCTGCACTAGACTATTTAGTCTAGCCAAAAATGTGGCAATCACCAAAAATGTGTCAACAGCCTATACGCACTCCAACCCAGGAATGGATTAACAAGCTGTGGTATATGTATATCATGGAATACTATTCAGCCACTAAAAAAGATGGAGACTTTACATCTTTTATATTAATCTGGATGGAAGTGGAACACATTATGCTTAATAAAGCATCACAAGAATGGAGAAGTAAGAATCGTATGTAGTCAAATCTGATATAAGGACAATTAATGACCTAGTACATGGTGGGAGGTGGGGGAAAGGGAGGACAGAGAGAGGGAAGGAGGGAGAGGGGTGGGACTCAATTAAAAGAGGGACTTTACCTAACAAACGAACTTTACCTAACAAAAGATACTGTAACCTGATTCAAAAAATGAAAAAAAAAAAAAAAAAAAAAAAAAAAAGAAAAAAAACTACAAAAACATACACAAATACATACATGAGGGCTGCCCAGAAAGTACCCAACCATGTAATATGAAAAACAGAGACACAGGTCAACGCCTATAGCTCAAGCCACGAGGGCACCGGACACATATGCCAGAGCTGGTGGGTTTGGATCCAGCCCAGGCCTGCCAAACAACAATGACAACCGCAACCAAAAAATAGCCAGAAGTTATGGTGGGCGCCTATAGTCCCAGCTACTTGGGAGGCTGAGGCAAGAGAATCGCATAAGTCCAAGAGTTGGAGGTTGCTGTGAGTTGTGATGCCATAGAACTTTACCCAGGGTGACAGCTTGAGACTGTCTCAAAAAAAAAGAAAAGAAAAATAGAGACATATATGGCTGGGTACTTTTCAGACAGCTCTAGGATATACATTCAACATATATATGCACCTTAGTATTTATATTAAATGCGTATGAATGTGTGCAGATATATTTTACTGGTTTTCTGTGAAATACATCCAAAATACCTGGGTACAAATGTTTGTCTTAAGATAGACTAGGCTTTAGTGATTCATACAAGTTATGATAGGAATGAGATAACAAGAATAAAATAAAATCTACGTATGATTCAAAGAATGTTAAGTAATGCTCTCACCTTTTACCTCCCATTCCTCCTTTTTACCACCTGCTCCCTCCCCGCTAATGAAAGTATTAATAAGCTGCAAATCAAGCTAAATTAGGTACATACTAGATAAAAGAAACAGCAATAAAACAAAACACATCACAAAAAAATAAAACTCCCAGAAAGAATCCAACCAAAATCTTTAAACTAAATAAACTATAATTAATAAAGGTTGCTGCAATAAAGTCAAAAAGCAATGTGATAAAATATTTTCAAAATAAGTAGTAGCAGTTAATATTTATTGAGTGCCAGGAATAGTTTTACTAGTAATAACTCATCTGGTCCTCATAACCATAGAAAGTTAGTGATATAATTATTCCCAGCTTACAGATGATGACACTAACACACATATTAAGTATTAAATAAAAACTAGTAAGCAGTGTATCTACTAAAATCCAGACCATCTGGCCCTATAGACCAAGCTCTTAAAGCTCATTAAAGGCTCAATGCAGACATCGGTATTTGGATAGAATTTTCTATTTCTCAGGAAAAAGGGTTGCCAAGACTCCCAGTTTCATTAAACATAAAAAAAAAATTCAGTGTATTTTTCCAGGCTCTGCTTTATTTAGCCCTGGGTAAAATATTAAGCACTTTGACATTTGAACTTTTCTATTAAAAAATCATTTTAATACAGCACGTTCACTGTACTCTTTTTGCAACTTTTCTGTGAAATTAAATTTTTCTCCAAATAAATTTTAAAAAGAAATTTTGACCCTGAGGATTAAATAATGAATATAAATGATTCCTCAAAAAATAGTATCTACAGTATAAAGTGCTACATAAGAACACAACAGTATCCTTTCAAATGGCATCTTAATAGTTAATGCAGACATTATATATAAGCTAAAATTAAATTACCTTTGGGTTTTTCTAAAATCCTCTGACACATTTCTTGGACTTTTGTAAAGAGTTCAGAACCTGCCAACTTTTTAGAAATCCCAACTCTCAGCATAACGGCTCCAGGTGTGAATTTTAAAAGCGCGGCCCCAGGTTCTCTTGGTTCTTTGGGATGCTTTGGCATAAGACCAGACCAGTCAACATCTATCACATCTAAGGGATCTGTAAAAAGTAAAGTATGATTTCTTTTTTTACACCAAACAATAAGTCTTATCTACAGAGAAATAGCAATCAAGCAAAACATAGAAAACTTCACTGAGCAAGTACTTTAAACCAAAACTCTAAGAGATATATATTCTTAAAATGAAAAGTTTTCCCATTTAGTATCTAGACCCTAAAGACCCTCATAAAAAACTTTTCCATCAAAAGAAAACAGGCACGGTAACCCACGCTTACAAATAACTTATTTAAATTATATGGGAGATCCTCCCCAATGAAAGAACTCTTATTATTTCCCTCATATTACATTTAATGTTTTGAAATGTGGTGTCAAAATCCTTTTTTAGAATTAAATTCAGGAATATATTTAATTTGAATGTGTGCATACACACATTTTAATTTTTAAAAATTAAAATAAAAAAATTCTTATTTTGTTATGAAATTCCTTTAAGAATTAGATAACTATTATTTATATTGAGAGTAAATAATCTATCCATTCAAAAGAAACAATGTTCTACTTGGAAATGATGTTCTACTTAGAAATGCCTAAAACCAAAAAAATAAAAAAGATAATGAATTACACACACCTCTTATATCAGTAGAAAAAATAGCAAAATATAAGAGCAAGTTAAATCAAAATAAAAATTTAATATTTTATACACCCAAAGTAAAGACCCTCAATATAACAAAAAATTGGTTAGTAACAATTGGACACTAATTAGGATGATGTGACAAGAATGGGGCAGAGGTGTTGCTTCATGGCACAGTCACTAAAGTGAGCTCTGGCAATGAACAAAGTACTGTAAGTCAAAATAATTACTAAATTTAGAAAATTGATCCACATGTAAAAGACGGAAACTGGACCCGCGCCTTTCTCCACTCACAAAAACGGATTCGAGATGGATAAAGGACTTAAATTTAAGGCATGATACAATAAAAATACTCAAAGAAAGCATAGAAAAAACACTGGAAGATATCGGCTTGGGGAAAGACTTTATGAAGAAGACTGCCATGGCAATTGCAACAACAACAAAAATAAACAAACGGGATTTAATTAAACTGAAAAGCTTCTGTACAGCTAAGGAGACAACAACCAAAGCAAACAGATAACCTACCCAAAGGGAAAGGATATTTGCACATTTTGAATGAGATAAAAGCTTCATAACTAGGATCTATAGAGAAATTAATTCACATGAAAAAAGCCAACAATCCCATATATCAATGGGGAAGACAGATGAATGGCTAGCAAACATATGAAAAAATGCTTATCATCCCTAATTATTAGAGAAATGCAAACCAAAACCACCCTGAGATATTATCTAACCCCAGTGAGAATGGCCCATACAACAAAACCTCAAAACTGCAGATGTTGGCACAGATGTGGAGAGAAGGGAACACTTTTACACTGCTGGTGGGACTGCAAACTAACATAACCTTTTTGGAAGGAAGTATGGAGAAACCTTAAAGAACTCAACCTCGACCTCCCGTTTGATCCAGTAATCCCTTTACCAGGCATCTGTTCAGAAGACGTTTTTTTTTTTTTCCCCCATAAAAAACCTTTTATTATAAAGACACTTGTACTAGACTGTTTGTTGCAGCTCAATTTACAATCGCTAAAATGTGGAAACAGCCTAAATGCCCCTCAACCCAGGAATGGATTGGCAAGCTGTGGTATATGTATACCATGGAATACTATTCAGCCATTAAAAAATGGAGATTTTGCAACATTTGTATTAACCTGGATGGAGGTGGAACACATCATTCTTAGTGAAGCATCACAGGAATGGAGAAGCATGAATTCTATGTATTCAACTTTGATATGAGGACAATTAATCACAATTAATGACACAGTGGGGGTGGGGGAAGGGGAGAGCAGACAGAAGGAGAGAGGGGGTGGGGGAAAGGAAAAGAAAATAGTGACTAATTCTCACATAAACTGGATTTAATTTTGACCAAAGCACATTATTTGAACAATAATTTTTAATTCAACTTGTATGTTGTTTAGGATCCTCATTTATAAGTGAAATATGTTTGTAATTTCCCTTTATAATATTTTTTCCAATTCTAGTATCAGGTACATCCAGATGAAGTAGAATGAATTTGAAGTATTTCTTCTTTTTTGATTATCTATAAGATTTGGCATGATCTGTTTTTTGAAATTATATTCAATTTATAAATATTAGTTATCTATTTTTTGAGACTTTGAAACCCCCCCCCCCACACACACACAAAATCCTTTGTCTCTGTTGTTTTTTAAAATGACCTCTTTCAGGTTTTTGGAAATCCCTGCAGTGTGGTAACTTCCAGAACTGGCTCTGCTTATAACCTGTCCATTAAAGCTTCAGGTTTCTGACATCCCATTTTCTATCAATAAATTGGTGAATGTGACACAAGCAGCTTCTTTCCATGCAGCCATTCTTAGATTAGGTGCTTTGGGAGGAATGAACCTACTTCAGATACCTTTTAACTAGCTTATGAGCCCCTTGGATCAAGACTAATATCATGGCTATTTGTAATTACTCATTTATTTGCTTGATAGTCTATTGGGGCTCAAGAAATTCAAAAAAAAAGAAAAGAAAACTGAGAGAATGAAGTACATAAATGGTATTCAAATATAATTTCACCTACTGAATTTTTTTAAAGATTATCGAAGAAACTGATTTGCGTCATCACAGTTGTGAAGCCTTGACCATATTCCAATCGTGCAGAATACTATTAGACAATTAGTATTTGGTAAGATTCCAGGTCATATAATATAAATGTTAAACTCTTAGGATTTTACTGTTTTAAACGAAGCCCTTTCTAATTCATAGGCAATGTCTACTAAAACTGAGCAGGCATATAGACTATGTAATTTTCATTTTATTGGCCTTTCAAACTTAATTTTTTTCCCCTCTGAGACAGAGTCTTACTACGTTGCCCTCAGAAGAGTACAACGGTGTCACAGCTCACAGTAACCTCAAACTCCTGGGCTTAAGTGCTTCTCTTGCCCCAGCCTCCCAAGTTGCTAGGACTATAGGTGTCCACCACAATGACTGGGCATTTTTTTTGTTGTAGTTGTCATTATTGTTCAGCAGGCCTGGGCTGGGTTTGAACCCACCAGGCTGAGTGTATGTGGCCAATGCCCTAACCACTGAGCTATAGGCGCCGAGTATTAAATTTAATTATTAATAAAATATAAAAAAGAAAATTCCAAGTGTCCTATATCTATTCTTACAGCATCAGAGAGAACAAAGAATACTTTAATGCCATAAATGCAGTAATTTTTGTGTTCAACCACCTCTGCAAATGATTACCTGGCATCTTCTCCTCATCTTGTTGGTCCTCCCTTTTTTCTGCATCACCTGCCAGAATTTCATCTAGTTCATCATCACTGATTGGCTCATATCCTTCGCCAGCACCAGAGCCCAATGAATGTGCATCATCTAACTTGCACTCATCATCTCCTGCTAATGAAGAAATTCATTACAAAGACAGGATTAAAGGGAAGAAACATCGAAGTCAAATTAAAGGGTAGAGGACACTACAACAATGTGAAGAGCATTTTTTTCATCAGGAAGCTACATTTCTTAATTACAAAAACACTTGAAAATTCTAAAAGAAAACCAAAAAATAAAATTTTATTAACTAAACTTAATTTTAATGGTAAGAATATAATTTAAATAGCAATACACATTAAAATATGACAAATACAATCCACCACTAATATTAATGTTGTGTGTTAATTCTTGATAATAAAACTTTAATATTTAAGACAAATTTACCAAGTTCAAAAGGATGCAGTAATCTTTTTTAACTTAAATAAAATCATTAATGAAAAAAACTCATAAACTTATTAAAAAATTATTTGAAACTTAACCTTACCTCATAATATTTAGGTCACCATATAAACTTACAACAGTAAGGTAAAAATGTAGAGTACTGTTAATTCTCCCCCTTCCTCCCAATTCTTCTTCTCTGTACCAAAATTTTGCTTTAATTGATAAATGGAATTTTTAGAAGAATACTGTAATATATTCCAAAATGTTTTTTTTTTTTCTGAGACAGAGCCTCAAGCTGTCCCCCTGGGTAGAGTGCCATGGCATTACAGCTCACAGCAACCTCCAACTCCTGGGCTCAAGTGAGTCTCCTGCCTCTGCCTCCCAAGTAGCTGGGACCACAGGCGCCCGCCACAACACCCGGCTATTTTTTGGTTGCAGCCGTCATTGTTGTTTGGCGGGTCTGGGCTGGGGATTCGAACCCGCCACCTTAGGTGTACGTGGCTGGCGCCTTAGCCGGTTGAGTTATAGGCGCCGAGCCTCCAAAATGTTTTTGTTATATCAGTAGCGTTACTTCTATTTCTTTATTCTGTCAACTTTTCTCAACCACCTGGACTACACTGTGTCTCCTGGTAAGTTAGTTGTAAACTTAATCCTCAAACTCCACAGTACATTTAATAATTCTAGTTGCTAACTATATAAGGGCTGCTCAGAAAGTATCCAGCCATATAAGATGACAAATAGAGACATAATAGCTGAATTCTTTCCAGACAGCCCTTGTATGTGCACTTAACCAAATCTACAACACTAGTTTTCGAAGTATAACAGTATGCTTTATGAATCTGTAGCAAATAAAATGTAAGAAGCTATGTTTCTAGTCATTCTAATAATTTTCCATTCTATTAATATTACATTTTATAGTAACCTCCTCATATCCCTACCGATTCACCTCTAAGATAACCAATTTTAGTAACTTTCTCATATATAGCATCATCTAAACACAAATGAGAATAGGATTTTTAATTTCTCAAGTTTATATAACTTATTTTACTTTATGTGAATAAAATCTTCACATCACACAGCAGGTGATTCACCCATAAGTTTCTATGCTATACTATCTGTGGACGTAACTAGCAAATTATATAGTATTTTGGAGATGAGGGACCCTGCCTCCAACCACAAAAGAGCTAATATAATAATTAGGTCCATTATACTCTATTAAATCCCAGTGTTGTACATCCATTAGAACCATGGCTCATGATACGATGCTATTTATACTCAAAATTGATATGAGAATAAAAAGTGAAGAAAGCTAAAGTAGAAATCTGCCAAGTCAAATAGGAAAAATATCTAAAAGATGAAAACACTGAGATATCTATCTAATCAAATAACAGAGATATAGGAACCACTTTTAAAAGATTTTACTATCGGTCTAAAGTCATAATGTTATCTTGCAATAAAACAATAAAAAGGATAATACCATATGTGTATTACTACTTATACACTAAGTATCTCAGAAGGTTCTTGGAGGCTTGAAATTGAGAGGTTATTCAGAACAATGAATAACCTCTGAAACCAGAACTAGACAGTCCCAAGGATGCAAAAGTTCCAGAATTCTCAGGGCAGCCATTACTACTGTCAACCTTGGTTATAATTCATCAAGCAGTAAGAGGTAGGTAGTACAAGCAGGACATATCTTCATTCATCAGCCATTTGTTGTAACCTCACTACAGTCTTGAAGATAATGAAAAGTTATGGTCCTGAGCAACAGAGTATAATATAGAGTGGTAAATAAAACCATGGAAAAATAAGTATAATAGATCCATGTTTGTTCTCTATTGCCATAGAAGACAGAGACCACTAATATTTAAATCCTCTTTGAATTAAGAAGTCATCTCAATTTTTGTGACTGTAACATCTAAGAAGAAGTGACAATTATTCTTTAACAACTACAGACACCGCACCTAAGCAATCTTTTGTTTGATTTAGGCTTATCACTGCCTTGATAGTGCTACTGAGGGAAACACATTTTTCAAATATCAGAGGACTTTTTTTTTTTGCAGTTTTTGGCTGGGGCTGGGTTTGAACCTGCCACCTCTGGCACATGGGGCCGGTGCCCTACTCCTTTGAGCCACAGGTGCCGCCAGGACTTTTTCTTACGAATTCTACTTCCCCTATAAAAGAATGGAGCCATTTTGCCTGTCAGTGGGTAACCTTTCAAAAAAAAAAAAAAAATAGTTGTTTCCCGTGAAATATGAAAAGGAATAAATCAATAGAACAGAAAAAGGGGTGTGCACTCACCTTCCAAACTCTCAGTTCTCTCGGATTTACTTATATCTTCAAATCCCTGCAGAGATCCCAGATCTTTATCTACTCTTTCTTTATCCAGAGATACAGAGTCTCGAGAAGTGCCCTCTATGTCTCTCTCATGCTCACTCTCCATTTTTGCTTCACTGCGTTTCACAGCCTCTATTTGAGAACTCTCAAAAGTTCTGTCTCTGTCCCTTTCGACAGAATCAGGAATTAGCCTCTCTCTTTCCCTCTCCAAGTCTCTCCTTTTGTCTCGTTCTCTGTCTCGTTCTCGCAGTCTATCCCGATCCCTGTTCCGTGGCCAATCTTTTTCAGTATCTCGCTCCCATTCTCTCTGCCTTGTGTCTCTCCTCTCTCTCTCACGCTCTCTATCATGGTCATATCGATCTCGTTCTTGAAGCCTATCTCTGCTATCAAATGACCCAGATCTAGAATGGACCTGTCGATCAGACTCAGGAGAACTTCTTCTTGAACTATGGCTTCTTGAATCTTGGCGATCTAAAATAAATATATACAGAGAGTTGACACATGTTCAAATAGGAAAAAAGTGCTTCTTTTAGGGTCTGTTAAAACTTCACAATTTATCTTTTTCCATAGTCTATTTTTACATTACATAAACATCTTTCTCTACATAACATCCAAAAATGTAATTTTAAGAAAAAATTGATCTCTCTCAATTAAAGTATTAATTGAAACATGTAAGCAACATGTTTCCCTACCTATTTCCACCATAACTGTAAAATATTTTCCAGGAAATAAGTAATAAAATGGTTAGGCATTGACAGAACTGGTCACTTCATTATTTTATTTTTTAATCATTGCAATTATGTTTATTAGAAAACAGATTAATAATTCAGTACAACGTATCAGTGGAGAAAAATGAACAAATATAAACTAGAAAGGTATTACGTAAAATTCAGTATCACTGAAAACTTCACTTCATTATTTTATCTCTCCCTACTCCCCTATCTTATTTTCTGTGGTCAAAAAAAGGCAGCCTTGGCTGGGTGGGGTGGCTCATGCCTGCTATCCTAGCACTCTGGGAGGCCAACACAGGAGGATGTGTGAGCTCAGGAGCTTGAGACCAGCCTGAATGAGAGCAAGATCCTGTCTCTATTAAGAACAGAAAAATTACCCAGATGCTGTGGCAGGCACCTGTAGTCCTAGCTACTCAGAGGCTGAGGCAAAAGGACTGCTCAATCCCAAGAGTTTTAAGTTACTAAAGGCTGGGCACAGTGGCTCACGCCTGTAATCCCAGCACTTTGGGAGGCCGAGTTGGGCAGATTGCCTGAGCTCACAGGTTCGAGACCAGCTTGAGCTACAGCAAGACCATAATCTCTAAAAATAGCTGAGTGTTGTGGTGGGCGCCTGTAGTCCCAGCTACTCAGGAGGCTGAAGCAAGAGAATCACCTGAGGTTAGAAGTATGAGGTTGATGTGAGAGCTATGACGCCACAGCACTCTGCTGAGGGTGACAAAGTGAGACTCTGTTTCAAAACAAAAGAAGTTCCATAAAACTTAAAGTGGCATATAAAGTAACCATTTAGAATTACTTTAGAGCTATAATTTATATAAAATACACTAACATAGGATACACTAAATAGATCACAATCTGATTTGATTACCTGAAGAAGTACTTCGACTGGGTTCTCCACGCTTTAACTGATCAATCCTAGATTTTCTCTCTCCAGTGATTTCTAGGCTTTTTGTTTTTTCTCTATCTCTTGAGCCACTATGCAGTACTCTCTTCCGACCACTTTGATCATCTCCACTTCGATGGGCAGAATCGTTGGATGGGGAGCGTAGACGGCCAGATGTATGACTGCGATTACTCCGATTGCTCCCAAGGCTGCTACTCCTCTTTTGATCCACTGGCTTGCGATGTGCTGCATCTTCTATGGTAACATGAGGTGCCTCTACTTTTTCTACTCGGGGTCTGTGGCATTTTCTATGGGAGTCTTCACTGGCAAAAGTAGTATTGGTGGCACTGGTGGGAGTAGCAGAGGTGGAAACTGTGGTGGCGGCAGCAGCACTGGCAGGAGTAGCAGGAGCAGCAGTGGTGGCGGCAGCCACAGGTGGGGGAGGAGGAAGAAGAGAAGACAGAGGAGGGGTACTCCCAGGGGTAGCAGCGGCAGCAGCATGCTCTGCTTCCACGGCCTCCGTGCGGTCAGGCACATCCTCATCAGACCAGTCACTGAACGCTATGTCTTCTTTTCTCAGAGCATCTTCTAGAGTGCCATCCTTGTCACTGGATATTTCAATAAATTCCTCTTTAGTTGTTACAGGGGGAGTCCGTGGGCCTCTTTTCTTCTTACTCTGTTGGGTTGCTTCCTCATCAGAAAGATCAGAATCACCTTTGGACCTTTTACGTTTCTTTTCAATACTTTTCTTCTTTTGTCCTTTTTTTGGTGAAAATACTTGACCATCTTCAGATGTTGTCTCTATGGCACCCCTCTCTAGTCCGACATCATCATCCTTCTTTTTCTTAATAGGTTTCTTTTGAATTTTTGCTTTTTTCTTGTTTTCATCATGAGTTCGATCAGATGTATCCCGATCTTCAGACTGGTGGCGTCCTATAATGTCCTGTGCACGTAATCTTGAGCTTTCCAGGATTTCTATCTGTTCTCTCTGTTTATCTATAGAAGAAACTTTCTCTTTGAGTTCTTGCTCTTCATAGCGCCTGGAACTCTCTTTCCTCTCTGGTTTCCGATCCTCCTCTTTCCACCGACCTTGCCTATCTTCTGTAAGGTGTGATGGACTAAGAGAACGAGATTCTTGTGGCCGTACAACCTGGCTCAAGAGTCTGTGTTTTTCATCTACATAAAAGATAAAAGTAACCACACTTTTACCAGGTCAATAAATACCGCATGTTACATATAAATAATAATAAGCCAATTTCTCACTTTTCATTTTAAAATGTTTGAAATGGTAGTAACTTCAGGCTCGGGACCCATTGCTCAGTGGTTAGGGTGCTGGCCATATACATCGGGGCTGGTGGGTTCGAACCAACAGTCCCAAGGCCTGCTAAACAAAGACAACTACAACAAAAAATAGCCAGGCGTGTGGTGGGCACCTGTAGTCCCGGCTACTTGGGAGGCTGAGGCAAGAGAATTGCTTAAGTCCAAGAGTTTGAGGTTGCTATGAGCTATGATGCCACAGCACTCTACTGAGGGTGACACAGTGAGACTCTGTCTCAAACAAAACAAAGAAATGGTAATAACTTCAATAAAAATAAAGCTTTACTACAAATAGTAGGAAATGATAGGGCCATTGTGATAAAATGACTATATTCCTAATACTTTAGTTGCAAAAAGATATTCAGAGGTAGAAGAGCAAGTAAACTTAAAAATATCTTAATTCAACAGTTTCCCCTAATATCAAATAATAGTCTCATGGTTACAAGTGAGTATGAACGTAGAGACAGAAAATCAGCCCCTGCTTACTTTTATCATCTCCGCTGTTGTAGGCATCACTATCAGGAGAATGCTCACGCCGGCGCTTGGGTGACTGCCTGGGGCTGGGACTCCCTTCATTTCTATAGCGCTTCCTAAATTGGGCAAGCAAATGCAATTTATAATATTCCAGGGGGCAAGAAAGAAATTACTGTATTTCTTATTAGTATTTCTTTATCTAGAATATATCTGTAAGAAATCAGTATTGTCAGAGCTACGCCATACAAAGGGTATTCAATGTCTTTAATAAAAATTCTTTACTTCATTTAGGACTTGTAATTGTGGACTTAAAATACATGGCACCATTTCTTCTTTTCTTCATTACACATGTAGAAACACTCAACCAAAAATTGCCAGATATAAATACTGCAAGGTGGTAACATTCAACAGAGAAATCAATATATTAAGGTACCCTCTAATATAAACATTGTCAATTTTACATTTTATGATATACAAAGGCCTTATGCTCAGGCAAGCTACACGAGAAAATCTGGTATTGGCTTTGGAGTCAAAAAGCTGAGTTCAACTTATAGCCACATTACTTATATGCAACTCTGAGCAAGTTCATTGAAGTCACTAAACCTTTCTTTCTCATCTGAAAATGGACGGGGGAGGGGGATAAGAGTCCATCTCATAAAACTGCAGTGAGGAATAAATAAGTTATGTCATAAGCTCACTGCCAGGCATGTTGTGGGTACGCTGTATTGCTTCTTTCCCTTTTTTAGAACTAAATAACTGGCTCAGTGAGAAATTAATAAAATAATCCATACGTTCATTATATTTCTTGACCCTTAGTTGAACTTGAAATGAGTAGTGATGTATATCTCTTGGGTACTTAAATTACTTCAGTACTTTAGCATTTTCCTACATTTTCATTAAATTTTCACTACTTTTTTTTTTTAAACAAACTCTTTGTAAGTATTATGATCAAAAGTTAAGAAACAACCTGCAGCACGTGTATCTCCTGGATAGCTTCTTTATATAGATGAGCAACTACATGGACAAGGAGATGGCCTCATGTGTACAGTAAGACAATCTGCAATGTGTTTTCTCTATTCTTTGAATCTGGGCTGGCCTATTGACTTGCTATGATAAGAGGAAGTGCTGAAAGTGACACTGCAAATTTGCATTATACTTATTGGATAAACATTCCTAATCTGAAATTTAAACTGTTCCAATGAACATTTTTCTTTGAGTGTCAATGCCACTGCTTAAGAAGTTTTGGATTTTGAAACATTTCAGATTTTGGATTTAGGGTGCCCAACCTCTATTAATGAAAGCCTAGAAATGGATAAGAGATAACAGAGATTTCAGTATTTTACCCTTATAAGATCAAGAGCTAAAGAGGTCAGCAGAGGGAAGAGAAATAAAATAGAACCTCTTCATAGTTGGCCTCCCTCCCACATCAACAGCCTCCTTAAATTGACCTAATTTTCACAGACTAGACATGCACCATTATAACACACGTGTGTCTCCAAATGTTAAAGGAAATATGGTAGAATCTCTGTTAAGTTAACCACCCAAATGACTGGAACCAACTGGTCAGCACACGGAGGTGGTCGACATAAGGATCTAGGCCTGCTGTGCTGATAATGTACATGTGGTGCATGTCTCATCTATGAAAATTAGGTCAATTTACAGAGATGGTCCATGTAGGGAGGTGGTCAACTATGGAAGTTTTACTGTATCGCTGAAGGTTACATTAATGTAAAGTTTTATAAAATGAAGGGAGAGAGAAGCAAAAAAGTCTGCTAGAGGGTACCATAAAAAATCTTGGCTGTCAATTAAAGAACAGTCAAAACCTAATGGAAGAAAGCCTCGCTTCTGTGCTACATTGTTTGCCCATAACCATAATCCATGATAGCAAGGATGAAAAAAGCCTAAAGTAGAGAGCCTGCATTCACTCTAAGGCACATGAGCTGGAGGTAAGGGCAAGAAAATTCAATTTGTTTTGGTGAGGTTAACCACAGCTTTTATCTCAGTTGGTATCTCAGTTGGTAAAGAGCAGCTAATTTCAGTAAGTTTAAGTTTCGTACTTGTAAAATCTCAACCATTCAGAATTCCCACAGCCACAGTGATAGCTTAGCCAATCACTATCTGCCCCTCGACTAACAAAAGCCCATGAAGAGAGAAAACACAAAGAGAGAAAGAACATGCCTGCAAAAGAAAATGCCCTCATATATGTTATATGAGATGCCAAGAACATAACTTTTGACCCCAATAAATCACTATAACGCCACAGCACAGGAAGACACTTCCTTTCTCTCAGCTTCTTCTAGCCATGCAGTGATTACAGAGATCCACTCAGCTCTGTCATTGTGAATGCTTCCTGGAGCCTGGGGATGCTGACTCCATAATCACAACACACAAAATTCATGAAGGATTACCAGGAATGGCACAGACAGTGTCTCTTGAAGAGTAGTCAATACCAATAGCTAGTTATATAGGGGATGTGATGGGACACAAGTTTGCTGATTCCTGTTTACAACAAAGTCGGCAATGGCAAGCAGCCATTTCAACCCCATGTGCCGTCAAAAATGTATAGTGAACAAGGATTATGTCCCCTAGATACAAAAAATAGAATTGAAAAGTATTTCTTTTGACAATTAAAGAGACTTTAAATACCAAATATTTATTGTTGAGAGGCCTAACACAGCCACATACAAACCATTTCTCCCTCATCCCCCTCCTTTCCTCCTAAGACAAAGACACAAAAGATCAACCTAGCCCACCCCTGAGAAGTTCATGCCAAAATACCCCAACTCTCCAGGCAGGCTGTGGAATTTGCCAACCCCCTATGGCCCCATATGAAAGGGGTCTCTAACTGCTCCTGGGGGCAGATGACATCTTTGAACTGCCCAGGCAGGTCAACTCCCCTTTCAATAAAGCCGACCTAAACTTCTCCACTCGGCTGTAGCTGTGGCCGTGTCTCTGGGTGCCATCTGTCATATGGTGTTAGGACTCCAGGCTGATGGCTGGTGAACTAGGTGCATCTCGCTGCTGCCTGCCCTAGTTACCCTAGTTTTCTTGGACCTGATTCCAGTTTTGCCTAGATCCAACTCTACTGACTTACTGGTCAGGGAGTCTGAGAAGAACGATTTCACCCCAGCTGCCATTTAAATATAAGATCTTTAAAGTTTCAAACAGAACTCCCTAGGCTAATTTTCTGACTCACTCCAGGACTCATATGTCCTCATCTCCTCCTTTTTTTCCCCTTTCATTTGTACCGACTTAGAGGGGTTTTGTCCTAGCATCGTGCTCCCTAATGGGGTCTGGGACCTCATACTGTTTTGTTTTTCATTTTTCGATTCAGGCCCAGTGCAAGACCCTAGTTTAGGTTTCTAGAGTCCTGGAGCTCTTAAGTTTATCCAGAAAGGGGAAGGACATCTGAGGTAACGAGTGCGAGTCCCTCTATCCCCTCAGTAAAAACACCTCTGCGTGTCTTGTTCAGCTGGTTTGGCCTAAGAATGGGACCTGTGACCTCAATATCTTAAAAGACTTAATTTCCTACAAAGAAATGGCAGGTGGAGCAAAATCCCCTATCTGCAGGCCTTTGTCTCCCTCTGTTCTTGTCCCTCTCTTGTGCAAACTGTGTTCAAGTCACCACATACTTGTTGCTCAAACTCCTTGCCCTTTATCTTTCCCTGAATTTCCTCCCTATCTTCCTTCCTCCATAGAGTCATTCCATCCTGCTAACCACCAGCTCCTATGTTCCTCTACTCCCTAACCTGTCCCCAGAACCTGAAGGCCCTCCCTTTGCTCCCCACCCTGCCAATCCCTTTAGGCTCTCACTATCACCTGCTCCCTCTACCAGCAGAACCTCTTTTACCACTGTATGAAGTGGCTGGTGCTGAAGGAATAATCATCTTTCACAGATTGAGAAAAAACTACATCCTTTTCCATAGATTGCTCTAAATCAGTGGTTCTCAACCTTCCTAATGCTGTGGCCCTTTAATACAGTTCCTGTGGGTCACAACCCACAGGTTGAGAACCACTGCTCTAAATATATAAAAGAATTCTGGTACCTGGTCCGATCCTATGACTTCAGCTGGCATGATCTTCACGTGATAATTAATTCTACCCTTCTCCCAGAGTAGCAGGCGAGGGTTTGGCAGGTAGCCCAGGCAGCATGCAGACACCATCTTTGCACTGCCCAGGCAGGTCACCCTCCCCTTTCAATAAACCTGGCCTGAACATCTATCTCCGCTGTGGCCTCATCTCTGGGCACCATTGTCTATACCTTTTGATATATAATAAATTTGAAATACAGGAAACAGTACAGAGGAAAAAAGTTAATAAGAAATTAAGAGGCATAGTAAAAAACACTAAATGAAACTTGTCAATTCTTTACTGAAATGTAAGTTTTTTAAGCTGATTTAAAACTCTTCTTACTTTGATTTTCTCTCATCATGTCCATCTCTCGCATTTCTATCTTCTCGGATATCTTCTCGCTTTTCTCTGCGGTCATCTCGCCCTTTGTCTTTGTCTTCCCAATCCCTTTGACGTTCTCGTTCTTTATCCCTTTCTCTCGCTCTTTCTCGTTCTCGTTCTCTCTCCCTCTCTCTCTCCCGTTCTCGTTCTCTCTCCCTCTCCCGTTCTTCCCTCTCTCGCTCCCGCTCTTTTTCCCTATCTCGTTCCCTCTCTCTTTCCCGCTCTCGATCATGGTCACGCTCTCTATCCCTTTCACGCTCTCTCTCTTTTTCTCTTTCTCTCTCCCGTTCCCTAGCACGCTCTCTTTCTAGTTCTCTTTCTTTTTCTCTTTCCCGATCCCGTTCTCGCTCTCTCTCTCTCTCCCGTTCCCTGTCCCGTTCTCGTTCCCGATCTCTGTCTCTAGCCCTTTCGTCTCTTCTATCATCCACTCTGTCTACTCTTCGTTCCTCTCTTCTTTCATCACGCTCAAGCTCGTCATTCCTTCCCTGATGTCGAATTGGTGAGCTTGGTCTTTGATCTACAATGAAAATCAAGTTTTGTCAGTGATTAATTTGACAGATAACCTATTGGTAAGACAACATGGCAAATCTTAAATTTTATCTGTGTTTTGGGTCACACTGGCAACAAATTATTAACCAGGTACTATATTTACTTTTAATTTAATCATTCAAATAATCACCACTAGATATTTAAAAAATGTTTAAAACATAATTTTCATTTGCCCTCTAACTACCATGTTTTCTACTCCCCTCAACCCCCCTCTCCCTCCCACTGGCTGAGCCACCTTTGATCTTTCTCTGCATGCTCCCTACCCTACCTCCAGCCCACTGTTCCAACCCCACTTTCTGCCATCTCTACCCTTCACCTCTGATCTTCTCTGTCCCCCCAGCAGGACCTGAGAACACTGGTGGCAAAGGATAGGGGCAGCAGGAGGTGTAGAACATAGGAGCTGAAGGAAAAAAAAAATTTCCCTCGTAAGTCACACCTCTAATTCCAGGCCAAAATATATATACAACAAAGTGTAGCTATTATGTGAAGAAAAATATAGCAGAACAAAACATGTCAAAATTTGTTGCTGCAATATCAATATTTTACCATAAACTAGAATATCAAGGGTACTGTCTAGCAATCTTGAAATAATCAAATGTAAAAAAGTATTTCATATTAGTTATATATATTTATAATTAATAATAAATTAAGTTTTATCATATAAGTAATTACTGATGAAAGAGCTGTTTTCTTAAATGTTAACTGATAATATCACATTACACATATTTTTTCCATCTACACATAAATCACATAAACAGAGAAAATGAATGCATTTTGCCCAAATACCCAATCGAGCAGAAAATTAGTCTGGGATCCAAAAATGTACAAGACGATGACATGAACTTTTCCAAAGAGATTAGCCATTTTGAAAGAGACTACTGCAGTATGATCTAGGCTTCTATAATGTTTTTATCTTACCATATAATAATGCCTATTATCTATTTGATAATCATACAACAATATGGTCAGAGGTTAGTAAGTAAAATACTTAACATCAGCTTAATAAGCAGAATAATTTTAGGATATTTCTAGGAAAGGGTCTATTATAGTAATTTGAATTTTCCTTCCTTATTACTGATGAAAAGGATAAGAATAATCCATATTTACTAGGTAGAAGTTATAGATCCTGATATAAGATCATGGAATTTTAAATGAACCATAATGAAACCCTATGTAGTCCTTTCTCCCCTTTCTTCTTAAGAACATAAAAATTATGGTCCAGAGTTGACTTGTCAAAGTTAAGATGGTAGATGCATTATGATATTAGGACTAGAAGTCAGTTTTCTTAAATCCTTTTATTTTTGTTGAAGCCAGTTTAAATGTAAAATGGTTCTATAGTATTATCTTTTGGATCCCTAGAATGCTATCTATCCATGTTTTAGATTATCTGAATTTCCAGTTTTTGGGGGGGGGGCATACCAACATTATTATGATTAGAAAAAACAAATTCAATACTGCAACCTACAGCAATTCATACTTGAAATTTCTGATGATAGCTGCATTAAAGACTACCCATAGTACTCATTCTTTTGTGGCAGATAAAAATCTTTATTTTCCCAACCAAAATGACAATGCTCTTTAACTTCAAAGGAAAATGGAAACGATATAAGAATATCACTTTAATGTCTAAACTATTCTCCTTATCTTTGCTCTAAAATGTGTTATTCAAAAACATGCTTCTCTTTACATCTTTCCTTATCTTCATGAATGACATACCAATTCATGAAAGCTGGCAATCTCTGAGTTAAGTCCCATCAACTTCACTTCCCAAATATTCCTCTATTGCTTTTCACATCTCTACAGTTAATATATTAACTCAGATGTTGATCAGCTATGTCATCAATAATCGAACTGAAAAAAAAAATCTGAATGTCTTTAGCCTTTCCCCCTACTCTTAGAATGGTTTTACTGAAAACTCTACTTCTTCTAGCTGCTTAAAAGCAGTTATTTTATAGGCAGGGGAAAGGTAATTAAATTCAAAAGTTTTAGCCTGACTTACTAGGTCATTCATAAATTACTCTATAGTCTCTCATCAATCCTTTGTCCCAGCTTCTTTCCTATCCTCCCAATCATAGCATTCGTGAATCTACCCTCACAAGAACTCTTTATTACTCCAAAGCATCTGCTTCTTTCAATTCTGATGTCTGACATGCTGCAAAGTACTGCAAAGTGTTCTCCCTACACAGTGCTTCTTCCATTGTTCCTTGTAAACGCCTGTGTTATGGTCCAGGCCCTAATTCAGATATCTCTTTAGGCAGCTTTCTTGGAATTCCTTAAATTGATTTGCTCCTTTGTCTTCTCATAGGACTTTATCTAGTAGTAGCATTTATCACCTTCAACCGTCTATCTGTTCAGTTGTTCCCTGATATCCACAGGAAATTGTTTATGAAACCCTGAGGAGACCAAAATCCATAGATGTTCAAATCTCTTATATAAAATGGTGTAGTATTTGCAAACAGACGATGTACAGCATCCTGTGTACTTTAAATTATGTCTAGATTACTAATAATACCTAATGTAAATGATATTTAACTAGTTATTATACTCTATTAATAATTTTTTAATTTAAATATCTATTTTGTTGTATTTTTTTCCAAATATTTTTGATCCATGGTTGGTTGATTCTGAGGATGTAAAACTCAGGTATAGAGGGCAGGTTGTTTTGTGCTTAGACAACAAAGAAACAAAGAGAAAATTTAAATTCTCAAGCACAGAACAAGGTACCGAGGCACATCTCTACCCTTACCTTTAACAATCACCCTACTGCTCAGCATTGTGTAAGCCACATTAGTCTTCTTTCAAATTCTAGGACATATGAAGCTATTTCCCAATTCAGGGAACTGGCACATACTCTTTCCTCGTTTACCCTCAACCTTCGCAAAGCTAGCTGCTTCTTCTTACATTTAAGCCTCTGAATAAAAATCACCTCAAATTTTTCATAAACACTCTAAAGTAGATCCCTTTCTCTTTATTTCCATCTGCACTGCTTGTTTATTTTCTACATAGCAATTAATGATCACTTGGGTTTTTTGGGAAGGGAGATATCTCCCCCTCTCCACTAAGTTCTACAAGGACAAGAACTACTGTACCCCAAGTACCTAGCAAAGTGCCTGGCATGGGTACTCCATAAACATTTGTAAAATATATCATTAACCTCAGAAATATATTCCTATTTCAATCATACAACTGATATTTAATAAAGTAGTTAGAGTAAAATAAAATAGAACTGAACTTAAAAGACCTGAATTAGAATTCTAGTTCTAGAACTTACTTCTCTATAATACTGGAAACTTACTCTTCTTAGATCTAATCTCCAAAACTATAAAACGTGTATTATTTTATCATACCTACACTTAGAGATATATTGCAAAGATTAAATTAGAATATTGTAAAGCAACTATCAAGTTCCTAGCACCTAGCAGAAGTTCAATGTGTGGTTGAACTAACTATAAGATTAAAACCCAATGTTACTACTGTGTTCAGGTAAGAGGTGAGAGAAACCTGACCTAGGTAGGATACGAAAATAGAAAGAAAGGTAAGTCGTTAAAGGAAAAATAAAAAAAAATCAAAACAGCATCACCAGGATGTTAGAAATAGAGAGGTAAATCAAAGTGCTAGTGAAGAAATAATTTCAGATATTCACATGAAACATATAAACTCTAGCCCTATTTGTAATGAAGGAAGTCTTGCACATCTTTTAACCCAAATGCCATTTGGCTTACCTTAACAAACTCAACCCAACTAACTCTCCTGCCTCTGACCTTATCTATGCTTCTCAAAGAAGAGACTTTGTTCTCCTTTCATGATTGCCTACATCAAGATATAGCATTACCTCTTTGATTCAATATTCAATTCTCTGGCCCATCAAGTTTTTATACTATATTAATCTCAGCATTACAGTTAATCTTACTTAATAATCAGCCAAGGTTAGTAAGATTATCATGAAATTTTAAATGTTTAAGGGCCCTAGTAACACCTGCCAAAGAAAGTACCTATAACCCTTCTAAGTGTTTCCTAGTCATCTTTGAATTTGATTTCTGTGGGAGATCATCTAATACAGCGGTTCTCAACCTGTGGGTCATGACCCACAGGAACTGTATTAAAGGACCTGTGGCATTAGGAAAGTTGAGAACCACTGATCTAATAAGTTAACAGAAAAGTTTTAGCTTAAGACATAAAAATAGCTAAAGCAAATATTATTTATTCTCAGGATGGAATAATATAAATAAAATATTTCTCCAAACAATTCCCAGCACTATCATTATTTTCGTCTTGCTCCTCTCCAGCAAGCAATCCTTGTAAGATGCTATTGATTACAGGTAAGTAGTGAGCAGCTAGGATATGTAGATGAGAACAATTAGGTGTTATGTGAATCACAATTGCCTGGACTGACATCCAGACATTTACATGCTCGAGCTACTTGGTCAAAATGAGAGACTCACAGCAGGCATTTCAGTTTGTTCACTATTACCAGGAGGAACTCGTCAGTAGCTATTTACAAAATCCCTCTTAAACCGAGCAAACAAAGATGATTATATGAGTAAACAGTTTCAAATGTGTCATCAAGCATCAGTCTTAAGAAGATTTCATAAAAATAAATTTTAACTGTTTTAAGAAACATTAGTCACTATTTAATAAAATTCTGTTGGACAAACCTCTCTCTCTGTTGTCACGACGGTCTCTCTCTCCTCCGTGTCTTCTTTCAAATGAAGAATCTCTTGTTTGATCTCTGTTGTCTCTTTCAGGGTATCTGTCTCTTTCAGGATAGCTACTTCGAGTTTCCCAGCTGTCATGATAGTTGCTACTACTACTGTGACTATCAATTTGAGAACCTCTTGTGCCTCGACTTCCTAAACAAATGATATTCACACAAATATTTAACACATAAACTTTGTTCAACAGATTTCATCAGTCACAATCTTTTCTACTAAAAAACACTGATAGATTATTTTTGTATTCTGAAGTATAATAATCACTGTTAAAAAGAATATTAAGCATTGCATCAGAATACTCAGAACTAGCCGTGTGGCCAAAAAGCACAGAGCTGCACACATAACAGTGTGCATGTATAGTTGGTAAAATCTGAATACATTCTATGTACCAACGTCAATTTCTTGGTCTTGACACTGCACTATAGGTGTGAGAAAGGTGGAAAAAGGGCACCAAAACGTCCTTACACACTGCTTTGCAATCTCTTGTGAATCCCTAATTACTTCAAAATAAAAGCAAATTTTTTAATTTGGAGGAGGAGGGTAGGGGTAGAGGAAGAGAAATAGGGTGTGCCTGTGATAACTAGGAATATACGACAAAGACAAAACTCTGAAGGGCCCTGCCTTGGATGTCATAGACGCGACATAAACTCTACCATAGATAAACCCTGATGGACGCTAGATAAACTCTACCATAGATAAACCCTGATGAAGATGAGTTCACTCACAAGAACATATGAACAACTTACTCAAATCCACTCAAAGTGAGACTTAGAATGCACTTTCCCAAAGATAAAAATAAAAATAAATGTAACAGGCTTTGAGCCTTAAAAGAATTATAGCCTAATTCTAAATACCGTGATAGGGTATTTTAATAGTCAAAATATCTGTGAAAAATATTTTAATAATTAGAGACCATGAAGAAAATATTTTTAAAATATTTTTTAAAGACTACAAGAGGGTTATATATAACATCTAGAAGAGTAAAATATCAGATTAGATGCAGCTAAGAAAAATGTAGTAAACTAGAGGATAAGTCTAAGGATACAACCTCAGAGGCAAAAGAGTCTCTTCTAAAAAATAAAGAAATGTAGCTGGGGGCACTGCCTGTGGCTCAAAGGAGTAGGGCGCCAGCCCCATATACCAGAGGTGGCGGGTTCAAACCCAGTCCTGCCCCCCCCCCAAAAAAAAGAATGTATCTGGGTGCCTGTAGTCCCAGCTACTGAGGAGGCTATATAGCAGGAGGGTTGGCTGAACCCAGGAGTTTGAGGTTGCTGTGACCTAGGCTGAAGATGCCACAGCACTCTAGCCTGGGCAATAGAGTGAGACTGTCTTTCACAAAAATAAATAAGTAAATAAATCTTAACCTATTCTAGAACCCTAACAAATGACAGAATTGTATTTATTTCAGGAATGCAAGGATAGTTCTAAATTTTAAAAGAACATTAACATAAGTAACAATGTAATAGAGATAAAACTACGTGATCTCAAGAAGGAGAAAAAACAGTAGTAATAAAAACTGTTAGCCTAAGGGAACTGAGAAAATTAGAAGAATCCTTAGTACAATAAAGCAATCTGCAAAAAATAACACACACCGCACTTAATAGTGAATTGCCAGTAACAATCTTTAAAATCTGAAACAATGTGCTTGCTAAGGTGGAGTCATAAGGATTAAATGAGGTTGCTTATAAAAAAAAAAATCTGAAACAATGCAAAATTCCACTTGTATTCAACATTGTATTGATGAAGATTCTCAACAGAAAATAAGTAATAATCAGAAAACAGTCAAATTAGTGTCTTCCCAGGCATATTGGTTAAGAGAATCTAATTAGATCTACTAAGAAAACATAGCAACATCATTTAAATATAAGATTAATAGGCTTGGCACCTGTAGCTCAGTGGTTAGGGTGCCAGCCACATGTACTGGGGCTAGTGGGTTCGAACCTGACCTGGGCCAGCTAAACAACAATGACAACAACAACAACAAAAAATAGGTGGGTGCTGTGGTGGGCACCTGTAATCCTAGCTACCTGGGAGGCTGAGGCAAGAGAATTGCTTAATCCCAAGAGTTGGAGGTTGCTGTGAGCTGTGACGCCATAGCACTCTACTAAGGGCAACATAGTGAGACCCTGTAGCACCCATAGCACAGTAGTTATGGTGCCAACCACACACACCAAGGCTGGAGGGTTCAAACCCTGCCTGGGCTAGCTAAACAACAATGACAACTGCAACAAAAAATAGCTGGGCATTGGGAATAGTGCCTGTGGTCCCAGCTACTGAGGAGGCTGAGGCAAGAGAATTGCTTAAGCCCAAGAGTTTGAGGTTGCTGTCAGCTGTTAAGCCATGGCACTCTACCAAAGGTGACACAGTGAGACTCTGTCTCAAAAAAAAAAAAAAAAGATTAATATAATATCAATTACCACTGCCATGTATAAGTAAAGTATTACAAAATATGTTTTAAAAGATACCATTTAGTGACACATGTACACAGTTATTCATGACAGCACTGTTTACAGGCTGGAAAAGCCTAAACATCCACCAATGTAGGACTGACTTACTTTATGATATATATTATCCCATAATGGACATTATATGTCAAAGAAGAAAGGAACTGTTTACCACATTGATAAACATTTTATTCCAATCCTCCTGCCTTAGCTTCCTGAATACCTGGGGACTACAGGCACCCAGCTACATTTCTTTTTTTTTTTTAGAATGTATACAATGATCTCTAGATATTTTTATTCAGTGAAAACAGTAGGAAATAAAACAATATATAGTTTTTTAAAAGATTATTTTTGTAAAACTAGAGGAGAAAACAAATGTGTGTGTAAATACACAGGCTTGTTTAAAATGTTTTTGGAAAGAATACATACTAAACTGACAAAAGAGTGGCTGGAGGTAGAAGGGAGGCTTTTCACAAAAATGTCATTTTGTACTTTTGAAATTATGAACGATGTGAATACACAATCTAAAAACATTTTTTTTTTTAACTTAGAACAATTTTAAAAGTACAATTTATAACGGCAACACAAAAACAGGGTAGTGAGGAATAAAATATCTCTAAAATCTTATGGGAAAAACTATAAATCAATAAATTTAATGCACTGAAAACCAAAATCTAAGAGTTTTTTCACAAAATTAAAAATTTTTAAATGGATATGAAAAATTATAAAGCCAAGAAAAGCCAAGATAACTCTCGGAAGAAGTTAAAGGACCTTCAATATGTTACGGTGAAGTGTAATACTGACCAGGGATATAATAAATGGACCAAATGAAAGATTAAGAGTGACCAGAGTTCTGCAGCAGCTTTTGTGGAGAGGAAAAAGAAATGGAATGGAAAAAAGGTAGGTCCAAGCTAATTAAGTCCTAGCAGTTTGGAGCTAGTCATAAATATATTTAAGATGTCTGGGGTAACGGCAAATGCCTTTTTGTGGCAAAAAAAAAAAAAAAA